TGTTGAGCAATGCCAGACCGAACTTCCCGACCTCAAACGTTGCGGGCGGGACTAAGTTAGGAATGGCACCCAGGCTAAATAAAATCCTCCTATTCAGTTAAATTCAAACTGCTCCATGCTAAACATGTAGCTTGAGGGGTTTCGAACTGAAAGGTTCTGATTTCTTTCTATGAATCCACCAAAATAATCTGTTGCTGCCATCTTTTCAGACTTAACGTGCGGCTATTTCAAGTTAAACTGCAAAATAATAATGTTATCACACGTGACAACCAACACTGACTCGAAATTTTGTTAATAGCTAAATTATTTTTAGCTTGGAAAAGAAAAAACTATTAGGCTTGTAGTTTTTAATACCTCTGTTCGGTTTAGAATTTTAATCTGATATTAAAATAGTTGTTGTTTTTACAAAACAACAGAACAGGACATTTGATTAAAGCAGATGTTTAGAGGTGTTTTCTTCATATGTCTGATGAAACTAAATAGATAATTTACCTTATTTACCTGACTGTCATGGAGAGCAGGGGTGAGTGAGCGCCTGGACCCCTCTGGGTTTATTAAAAACTCTGTTTTTTAAGTCGCAAACATATTTATGAGCTACCTTTGAGAAAATCTGTTGAATGTAGCTACTTTTATCCAAATGTAGTAAGTAAAAGTAAAAATAAATACTCAAGTGAATAACAGACTGAAAAAAGCTACTTAAATATTTAAACTTACATCTTTCATAAAAACAAATTTATGAACAGAAAAAAAAGTTTAATTTTCCACTTTTGATCACAGTGCTTGTAGAGAAAAAATAACAAAAAAAATTATTACATAACAGACTCAGTCTAGTTTAGTTCTGAATTAAAACTTCCGACTTGAAAGTATAGATTGAACCAAACAGAAGTCCTTCATTAGCAGCTGAACACATTTTAAGCTCTGGCATTCACAGATGCCAGAGCTTGAAATGCCGTTACAGTTGCTGAGAACAGAATTAAACCTCAAATATGCTAACATCAATAATTCAATAATCAAGATTTCACTCCTTGAAGATTAGATTTATAAACTATAGCTTTCTTTTTCTTTAAGTAGTTGCCAAATTTAAAGTTGTAAACTTTATATTAATTGAAAAATAAACAGAAAATTTGACAAATTTCTGACAGCATTTATAACGGTCAAAGAAAAATACACTGTTAGGAATCAGTTGGAATGGAAACAAGAGAATGCTAAAGGTTCCTAGGTGCGACACTGAGTGTGTATAAACTGACACTGGGGGAAAAAACATGGCGTCAATGGGTTAATATAAACTCTAATAAATGGGGAACAGATCTGATCGTTATTTGCAATGTTTCCCAGCTGCCTGTCCTCATCCATCTATCAGCGTTTTTCCTTAAACTAACTGGAGTCCAACTGCACAGATTTTCAAAGCAATTTTTATCTTCCCTCCTTTTTTGTGTGTCTGTTACTGTTCTGTCATTATCAAACTGGATAAAACTAACGAGCTACTTCTGAGAAAATGAGAAGAAACTACAGATATCTGTGTTCAAATGTAGTAAAAGGAAAAATAAATACTTAAAGAACAGATACTGCAAATATACTAAGTATTTATGCTTCGTTATTTGATGCCTCTGATTATTAAGCTTTTTAATCAACCTACAGCAGGAAGGCCAAATTTGGAGGCAGCATATTTCTTTCATCCATGAGGGATTGCATTTGAGTCAATGAGTCGATGCAATCAACTGGTTTTCCTTAGATAGAAAACTTTGAATCAGTTTAGATGTATGATCTGGTGAACTGTAAAGTGCCTTGTGATGACGTGTTGTGAATTGGCGCTAGAGAAATAAACTGAATTGAATTGAGGGGATTTTTGCTTAAAAATTCTCACGGTAACTTGTTGAGTTTTATTAACAAGAAAAATGTATTTTACTAAAATATCTCAGCAGCTGTGTGTGTAGAATTGGTTTGGTGTTAAAGAAAGCAGTGAAGTTCCCTCATAAATCCACATCTTTTAATGGTGCAGATTCCTGAGAACCGCACATCAAACGATGAGGTTTAACATTAGTTTGAAATCTGTTTAAAATATTAGAGCCCTTTTCTACTCATGCTGTGCAAAGCTCCTGATTAAGGATCTGTGTGTGTTTGATGCAGACAGCGGCCGCAGCAGCAGCGGCTCCAAAGGAGAGCGTCTGAGCGCCAAGATGAGGTCACTTCCTGGTTCCAATGAGCCTTATGAAGCCAGAAGCCCTAAAGAACTTGGTAAGGACTCCTTAGTTTCCATATAATTCTGGCAAAAAAAAAAAAAAACTGCAGAGAGTTTGATGGTATTCCTCTCCAACTCTGATCTATCTCATGGTTGATGACGTGATTCTTAGTTAGCAGGAATCCTGAGACGTTGAAGACATTTTTAGGGAAGTTGCGGTTTGATCAGGAACTCATTACATCAATCTGTAAGATTGTTGGTTGATCTTGTGTGTAGATGCATCATACGTTGATCCGCTGGGGCCTCAGATGGAAAGACCAAAGACGGGGGTCAAGAGGCTGGTGGATGACGATGACTTTGCAGATGAGGAGCTGGTGGATGAGCTGCTACCGGAGTAGAGGCATCGACTACCTTCTGAAATCAGAATCTTTATAATCTGCTCATAATGGGGGGTCTTCATCACCCCCATCAAAGCTGAGGAGGAAGAAGAGCTGAAGGTTCTCCTGTGATGGATCTGCAGGATAAAATTTTTTATTATGTGTGAATAATATGTAACTATAAACACAGAACATTTCTCAGCAGACTGAACTTTGTTGTTGAACTTATTGCTATTTATTCATTCTCTTTTTAAGTTTAATTAAATTTGTAATAAAATCTGTTTTCCTGCTTAAGACAAAAGTGAGAGTTGGTTTCTTTGAAATTAAACTGGCTGACAAATTTTCTTTTTTTGCACCGAACATTTAAGGTATAGTGGAGGATTTTTGTGTATTTTTGAAAAGCTCATGCACAACCCTGTACCTGCTCCCGACAGGGAATGCCTATTAAAAGCATCATGAGCCCATTTCTCCTCGTGCACACTCCGTTTAAAAGTTACTGTTCTCATAGGGTTTCATAAATGCTTGGAGAAATCCTAAACTAAGGCCAGACCAACACTTATTATCCTTCTTTTATTCCAGGACAGCTATCAATGACTTTAAACTACTGGTTTTAACCCAGACAGGATGAGATACCTCATGTAGCTCAGTATATTTTTAGCTTTTTTTAGGGTTTGTTGAAGTTAAAAATGGGACATATTTTTAGTAAAATGTGAATTAGATTAAACCAACAATTACCGTAAGGGGACAAAAATAGAAAAGCGGTTCTTATTAGCATGGGCAGACAGGGGCCAGTTCCTCTGTAATGGCCCCTGTTCGGAATACAGTACATTGTATAAAGTAAAATACAATTTATCATTAAGGAGTTATTTATTTAGCAACTAATTATTTTAGCTCGTTTTTTTCCCCATTGTAAATAATTTTTAATTTTTGGTTAAGTAAAATTAACATTTTCAAAGCGAAAAACAGGGCTGGCGTCACCAAAAGGTGACACAGGCGGCTGCAAGGATTGCTCTCAGCTGGACAGCAAGCAAAATTACAGAATAAAAAAAAAATTATGAAAGTATATAAAATATATAAAAGTATGTATTGTGAAATACAAACTCTATGAATACTCAAAAATTTACTCTGAAAGTTTATAAATTAAAAACTCCTTGTTTAAATTCTGATTGTATGACCTGCTGCAACTCTGATGAGGAGCATCATGTGGATTTACTACATATTTACACTTTTCAATGATTGAAAGTGAAAGATGAAAAGATCAGTAAAGCTTTCAGGAGCAGCTTTCTATAAGCAAAAAAAGTCTTATATATCATATCTATATGTGGACGCACTGTATATACCCCATGCACAATTACTTTTGGCTTCTTCTTTTAATTAACTATTTGAGCTGATGTAACACGTACATTTCTCCAATGTGAGATAAATAAAGTCAATCAATCAAAAGAGGTCCAAAGCAGAGTAGGCTCAAAAAATGTTCATTAAAAACATTTCATTTGCGACATAACATTTAAATTAATCCAAATGATGTGGAAATCTCACTTCATTCCGTAAAGTATCTCTTTGGTTCTGCAGCTCTCTTGATATATATGATGAATTATTTTTAACATTTTTTTTTTCATGCTTTTGTGTGAAAACACCCTGGCTCCCCTAGAAAATATAGAACCGCCACTGGCTATTGGTTTCCAGATCAGGGTGAATAAAGTGACTGGTTCCAGTGTTTACAGGGATTATGGAGCAGTGCGCACAGACGCAGCAAACCAGCCTCAGTTGTTCTCATGAATCCAGGAATGTTTTTTTTTTTTTTTTTTCCTATCATGGCTCTGTGTTTTTTAGAGAGGGACTTTTTCTCTGTCATCGCTTCGGTTTGATTTAGATCCTGCTGGAATGGTGCGGAACGGAGCGCACAGTGGAGTTAATGCGCACACACCAAAGAAGATAAGCTCGCTTTTTGTAAAATAAAAATACCTAATTGGTTATATTTCACCAGAAATGATGAGATCTTTGAATATAATCGGTACTTAATGTTTTGTGGTTGGTTTTAATCCTGGAGACCTCATGGATGTGATGAGCCAGATGTAGTTTTCCTGGCTGCGCGCCTCGCTGTGTTTGTCTGCGCCAGACTCCAAGTCGCATCAACAGTCTGTGAACACATAACAAATGGCTCCTGGGACTGAAACAGCTTAAAAAACTGCTGCTGAGCTCAGATCGCAGGAAGAACGAGGTCTCCAAGCTGTGCGCCACCTGGGTTCATTTCTGGCGCAACAGAACGCAAAGCGCGCAGAGATGCGGCGTCGGATCTGCGTCCTGCTGCTGCTGCATCTGGTTCTGGTACCAGCCGGGCCAGCAGAGACCACCAGGGTTCGGAAGAAAACCCCTAAGAGCCGGCCTTGTCTGGACCTGCCGGAGGAGATCCTGGAGCAGATGTTCGGGCGGCTTTCTGTGGGGGTGATGGGGGCCTTCCACCACGCGCTGGAGCTGGAGCCCCGCGGGAAACTCAACCTCACGTGTCCGACAGCAGCGCTGAGGAGAACCGACAGCAACACGCGCCTCCCGGCCAACCTGCGGAGCATCTCCCCCTGGGCTTACAGGTAGGAATGCAGAAACAGACTTATTGCTGGAGATTTTACTTACCTGTTGGTGCTTTGGTATGATTAAAAAAAATAAAAATAAAACATATCACACACAAAGTGGAGGTAAAATCTAGTGTTGCACCCCGATACCAGTGTCGGATGGGGCCCGATCCATGGTATCGGTATCGGCAGGTACCAACAAATGAAAGTGAAAAATGTGAAAAATTAAAATCAGTTGGTTCAGTTTGGCTGCTCAGTTGAACAGTGGGTAGCACTGCTGCCTTTCAACAAGAAGGTTTTGGGTTCGATTCCTGGCCCAAGGTCTTTCTGCATGTTCTCCCTGAGTATGTGTGGGTTCTCTGCAGGTACTCCAGCTTCCTCCCAGTCTCTAAATTGTCCTTAGGTGTGATTGTGTGTGTGAATGGTTGTGTGTCTCTGTGTTGCCCTGCAATGGACTGGCGACCTGTCCAGGGTGTACCCTGCCTATTGACTGCTGGAGATAGGCAACAGCACCCCTTGAGACCCCACTTGGGACAAGCGTGTCGGATAATGGATGGATGGATGGAATGGTATCAGTCAGTCAATGCTGCACAGCCAGGTGTCGGTATTGAGGCCAGAAAATGGCAACGGTAAAAACAACATTTACTTAGCAATGCAAATTCAAAACTGCATGAACATCAGATTTATATAGCCTACATTTATAATCAGTCTCCTGTTTTATCCACATTAAAGTTCAAGTGAGTCCTAAAATAATTTGATTAAAAATAAAAAAAGTCTTGGAAATCAGCAGATTTCATGAATTTGGTCCGTTTCTAGTCCATCGGAGAACTAAAGCTCAGGCCTGAAAGCGATTTAGGAGCTCATTAACCTAACATACAGGTTAGGGGAAGTCAGAGTACCTGGGGAAAACCCACTGAGACACCAGCGGCGGTGGCCAAAGATAAGATCCTCGGGTGGAACTAGAGGGGTGGTAGGCCAATTCAACACCACTGGAACAAGCAGTTCCCCTGTAAACCAGAGGGAGGCAGCAGTGATACTCTCAAGTGGAATGTCCTCATTATTAATTACTAACTAAATATTTTAAATATTAGTGTAATGGCCATAAACTGACTTAAAAATATGTATAAAAAAGATTTAACTCTTTTCAGAGAAAGTTTTTGTCTTTTAATAGGAAGAAGGGAAAGTTATTTCTCTGTAGGCCAGCTTGTATTTTCCTATATATAATTAAAGAACTGTTAAACCCATTTAATTCATATTAGTAATTACATTAGATTATTATGTATATGATGATTTTTTTTTTAAGACAGCATTGATAAATAAGTGCACATTGTTCTTGCTTTGCCACCTGTAGGAATATTTCCTGGCTCTGCCTCTGTTCCAATATTAAAACCAACACAGTTTGGATCAGTTCTCTGTCCAAACATGGTGCTGGTTTAATAAAAGCATTAACAGAGTTTTTTGCAGCGCTGTCATCCTTCAAATCGGTTTTTTGTATTTATTTTGACAAAATAATCTCTGTTTAGAGAGGAATCTTCCAGAAAAAGCTATCTATGCCTATATTATATTGCATGCAGCCAGTGAATTCAAACAGTAGATAGTTTATATCTTAAAATGACTGAAATGACTCAGTAATTTAGCAGCTAATCTTAGACTGGAGACTTGTCTTGTTTGCACCCAGAGGCGGAGCTAGAAGCGGGGTCAGGGGGGTCATGGCTCAGAAACCAGGTCATCTGCATGTGTGTCACAGTAAAATGTGTCCCCACCCCTTCCGCAGACACTCTGCTGCACCTCTCCTAAATTGTAGGTGACTGCAGACAGGAGGCCTCTGATTGGTCAAATCTACATCCGCTCTACTGTATGCAGATTTCCTGTTTGACACCTTACTGGCTTGTTTTGTTTTTATGACCACCATTGTGGAAAACAACCAGCTAGAAGAGCGAGGTGCGCAAGAACGCTGGAACCGTTTTACCACCTGGATTCCTGCTGTTTTTTCACCCTCATTGTCCCTCCGTTGTCACACAAACTTGCCCCCTTTTCCTCACCGCCTCGGCCGTATCTTGACCCACAGCTTGTCCCTCTTGCATTGTGGCGTGGAATAACATAGCGCAGACCACGCTTAAATTTTGGGCATAAATCAAAAATATCTGCAACAAGCTCACTGCAACACACTGCTGCTGGAGGATAACCAGCCCTTTAGGCCTCCATACATGGGTCGTGTTCACTAACCACTGCGCCATCGAAGCACGCCCATGGCCCCCCTTTTAAACGTCACACACCCTCCTTTTGATCCAAAAGAAAATGGATCACTGGACAAGAATCAGGGAGCACCTTCAGCATTGTCTATTGTTGCTGTGGAGCCATATTTCCTGATGTTTTAGCAAACTCAGTGAAAAGAGAATTAATACTATTAGCTTTGCAAACAAAAAACACCAAAACTTCTGCTCTGAATCTGTTTTTCAGGCTCTCCTACGAACCGAACCGATATCCCCGCTACATCCCTGAGGCCTACTGCCTGTGTAAAGGCTGCCTGTTTGGGCCGTACAGGGAGGAGAGCCAGCAGTACCGCAGCGTTCCCGTCTACGCTCCCACCGTCATCCTCAGGAGATCCGGCTCCTGCGTCGGTGGACGCCACTCCTACTCTGAGATCTACGTCTCTGTGGCCGTGGGATGCACCTGCGTGCCAATGATGGAGAAGAAACGAGACAGTCAGAGCAGCAACAGGAGCCTAGAGGGACCAAAGCCCAAAGCTAGACAGATTTTCTCTGCTGGGAAGAAAGACTGAAGGAGAGCATCAGTCCTTTGATGGACATGCTTTTTAAAGTAATGGTACTTGACTTCTGTTCAACTCAACATACTCTAAACTCAATTATTGGACGTAATAATTACCCCCAGGAGGACTATATTTATTAATTCCGACCCAACTGGTTGACAGGTTTTGTTTTGGAACAAAGGGATTCTATTAAAAAAAAAGATTTTTAAAGTAATTATCTAAACATGGTGCCTGCTCTTGTTTTTTTTCTTACAATTTTGGGAAATAAGTAATATTTGACCCAAACCTGCATTTCCCCAGAGATCTGAGACCAAATCTCTGCAGAATCCACCCCAGTTCAAACGATCAAAGCCACAGGAATACCTATTCCAAAAAAGTTAAAAAACAATGCACTTTGTTTCCAACTTTGAAGACGTTTGCCTTCCCATTCAGGAAGCTTTTTCAAATCAAACTGTCAGAATTAGCTCTGAGTTCGAAGCTTTATAGAGTAGCCCAAAAACTTGTTTTAGCTTGGAAAACATGCAAATTGAACCAGAAAAACGTCCTTAGGAATGGAGAGTCGTGACCTGGCTATGCCTCTAAAAGGGGGTCATTAGGAGCAACTGTTGGCTTGGCTGCCCAGGTGAGATGTTTGGTCCCCTGCATGGGGGTGGGGGGTTGAAGTGATAGTGGAAAGGAACCAACTCTATCGCTGTGTTGTTGGTTTTTGAGACCTGGAACCTGAGTGCACCTCTGTTTAAGGTTGGGTTTTCTTTCGTAACATAAATGGGATAAATTCACACCTCTTTGATACCACCTGTCTTCTTTGTCCAAAAAATCAAACATTCTGGTCCTCAAAAGAATGTCCTTTGTCCATTAGGTGCAGAGTCTTGTCCGGAGGAGGTCGCTCTTCTGTGTTGAGCCATGTGTCTGTGGAGAGGTTGTTTGGCTTCTCTAATATAAAAATCAAAGCATTTCTCACTGCATTGAACTGCATATAGGGATACCTGCTTCAATGCTGCCATCTACTGGACAAAAAAAAAAAAAAAAAGACTACAACCCGGTTATATAGGATACATACACTACCGTTCAAAAGTTTGGGGTCAGCCCAACAATTTTGTGTTTTCCTGAAAAGTCACACTTATTCACCACCATACATTGTGAAATGAATAGAAAATGGAGTCAAGACATTGACAAGGTTAGAAATAATGATTTGTATTTGAAATAAGATCTTTTTTACATCAAACTTTGCTTTCGTCAAAGAATCCTCCATTTGCAGCAATCACAGCATTGCAGACCTTTGGCATTCTAGCTGTTAATTTGATGAGGTAATCTAATATAGATATAATAGAAATATTTTCTAATAGAAATATCACCCCACGCTTCCAGAAGCAGCTCCCACAATTTGGATTGGTTGGATGGGCACTTCTTGCGTACCATACGGTCAAGCTGCTCCCACAACAGCTCCATGGGGTTCAGATCTGGTGACTGCGCTGGTCATTCCATTACCGCTAGAATACCAGCTGCCTGCTTCTGCTCTAAATAGTTCTTGCACAATTTGGAGGTGTGTTTAGGGTCATTGTCCTGTTGTAGGATGAAATTGGCTCCAATCAAGCGTTGCAAAATGGAGTGATAGCCTTCCTTATTCAGAATCCCTTTTACCCTGTACAAATCTCCCACCTTACCAGCACCAAAGCAACCCCAGACCATCACATTACCTCCGCCATGCTTAACAGATGGCGTCAGGCATTCTTTTAGCATCTTTTCATTTGTTCTGCGTCTCACAAACGTTCTTCTTTGTGATCCAAACACCTCAAACTTGGACTCATCCATCCACAACACTTTTTTCCAGTCTTCCTCTGTCCAATGTCTGTGTTCTTTTGCCCATCTTAATCTTTTTCTTTTATCGGCCATTCTCAAATATGGCTTTTACTTTGCCAGTCTGCCCTGAAGCCCAGAATCCCGCAGCTCCCTCTTCACTGTAGAGGAGGCCCAGGAGGAGCCCCGGAACCCAATGGAGGGACTATGTTTCTCAGCTGGCCTGGAAGCGCCTAGGGGTTGGAGACCCTTCCTCTGCCTCTGCTTCTCCATATAGAAGCCATCACTATTTGTCAACATCCATCACAACCGTAATGTCGTATCATAGCAACACAAGATCAACACAGTTCTGTGAAGAATATTAATAATTTTCTAAAACAAAAAGTACACGTCTAAAACAGGTCTGAGCTACTTTAAATTCAGTCCAGCTTATAAAACTCATGTAGAGCATCAAACACTGATCTTTTTAAAATGGGAGAAAAAGATAAGTGATATTTAATAAATACCTACCACAAATTTGTCCTTTTTAAAATAATCACCATGCTTTTATTTTTGGGTTTTAAATGAAGGAATAAACTTGCAAAAAAAACAAGAAATATATTTTTTTAAGGATTTCTGAACTTAAAAAAAACTATTTTTCCCATTTAAAAAACATAAAAAGTATTTATTAGTGTATACATTTTGACAAATATTAGCTTCATTTTTCAACCAAAGTGATGAAGAGCTGTCGCCGAGTGTCTAAAGAGCCACAGGTTACAGATTCATCTCCCATTTCCCATAATGCATCAGTTTTTTTTTATTTCAGTTGTGTTTTACGGTTTATTCTGGATCCAAACAAACGTCCACTGAAGTCATCATATAGATTCTTTACATTTCTTTAAGTTTATTCAGTAATATAACTTTACATTGTAGAAGTCAACATTCAGTATCTCATTCCAAAAAAGTAAAAAAAAACAACAATCCACTGGACTGTTGTTTTTTAAGTTTGAAGACGTTTCGCTTCCCATCCAAGAAACATTTTCAATTAAAAATCTCATTATTTCTGGATGGGAAGCAAAACATCTTCAAACTTGGAAACAAAGTCCAGTGGATTGTTTTTTAACTTTTTTGATATGACTATGACCTGGATGATGGAGTATCTTCACTTGCAACATTCAATATCCTAAAAGATTTAAAGAGAACAGAATTAAATTCCCCTCAACTTGTTGATACTCATCTTAAATATGTAGATTAAACTGCTGGAGGAAAAACAAAATCCTTGATAGTTGAGTAAAAAGATTTTCGTTGATTGTAAGTATTGAGTTTAATAAGACTTCCTGTGCTTAATGTTGCAGTATGGTTCGATATAACTCAGTATAATCTGAAAGCATTTTGTGAATCGTTTAAAACCTAAATTGTCTTATAAGTCAGCTGGGCTGAACAAGCATCTACTGGACTCAATCATTACTTTTTGTTTTTATTTAATAAAAACTAAATCATAAAATAAATTATTTTATGATTGGTTAAGTATTGCTTAGAGTAACCTGGACTGAAAAACAACATAAACATTGAATAGAAATGGATAAACTTTAAATAATAAAGTTTACTTTTCCAAAATAAATCTAACTTACAAACCTTTAATACACCAAATGTTTATTTTTTGTTGTACTTCCTTACATAAAAAGTTGGATTTAATTGACTCCATTTTAAATTCTGACTTTGATTAACTTACTCGGGTTTGCAGTGTAAAGTTCACCCAAAAAATGAAATAAGCACATTTTCAGGCATAAATTACGTAAAGAACATAAATAACTTGTTAACGAATGGATGAAATGTCTGAATTTCTCTTTAGCCGTTGGTCCAATGAGAGCAGCAGGAAAACAGCAAAGACAAATAAAAAAAAAAAGCCTCAGCATTTTTCAAGATAAAAGCTGGAAACTGTTCATATTTCTTCCTGAAATGATCAAATAACCAGTCAGTGGTTTCTAACTGGATTAGAGATGCAGGTTCTGGTAATGGATCTTCCTCTGCTTCCCAAACCCGCCACTCGTCTTTTAACCCGTCGGTTCCTCAGCTCGACAGCAGGCGGGACGGATAGTTGATGAAGCAGCGGAACTCATTGGACAAGTTTCTGTTGTGTTTGGGCAAAAAGGAGCACATTTTTACCCCCAGCAGCTCTTTGGCGACGCCCTCCATGATGGCTCCTGCAGACACAACCAGAAGCCCTCCTGATCATTTAGAAATGTCACTGATCTCTCCCTCTGAGCTGCTTTACTCACCAGTGCAAAGCAGCACTTTGCCTTTGCTCAGGTACTGGATGGTTTGGGCCACTTTGCTCAGGCACTCCTCGGACAGGTAGGGCGGGTCGGCCAGGACCACGTCGAAGCTCTGAGGGGCCACGCCGCAGGGCAGCGACAGCGGCTCGTTGTAGTCGTAGTAGATGAAGTCGTCCCCGTAGGTGGAGAAGCGGCGGTCGTACTCCAACACCACAGCTGACACTCTGTCTGACCCGTCCACCACACCCTGCTTCAACTTCTGGTACACGCTGGGCGCGCAAACACACGCTACCCTGAAGGGAACAAGGAAAGGAAGGTTGAAACAAAAGAAAAATCCAAATGAAAGAGAACCTTTCATTGGCCAAAAAAGGTTCAACACCAATCCTGCTGCTTCTTCAAACCAAATCTGTCTGTAATACAGCTCAATCGAAGCTCTGCAGAGCTTTCCTTTGACTGTAAACCATGTCTGCTCCTCAACCTGACCCCCGCCGCTTCGTGCCTCATGATGGAGGCAGCATCACCTGGTCAAACATCTCATCCTCTCAACAGATGGTCGTCATCAGCTAGAGCAGTGATGGGGAGCAGAGACTAACGCCTTCAAAACGTCAAATCCTGAAGCATCCATGAATGCCAAAACAGATGAAGGGATAAACAGCCTGACCTAAAGCTGCAGCAACTGATGACTCAGGAGGAAAGGAAACCATTTGAATCAGAGACCCGTCTAAAACAAGACAGAGTGGGACTTTTAAAGATTAAAAAATAAAATAATGGCTCTGATCTGCAGAAAGAAAGATGAAAGGAATGAATTGGTAAAATAAAAAAATAAACAGAAAGGCTTGAAGTTTCATCAGTATTGGAGAATGATGTCAGTTTATTTGGTCTTTTTGGAGAAACAACATCAGCTCCAAAAAGACAATAATCTTCATTTTAGATAAATTCAATATTTAAATCAATATAAAACTGCAATGTCCTGCTTTGTAATCAAAGGAGAAAACCTGACTGTTCTGATCACACAGCTAATGTTAATACAGACAGTTAAATAAGTGTAGAACATCCCATTTATCTCAGTAAATACATTTTCTTGAGGTGCTATTGACGTCATTTTCGCCACATGTTCATAACAATCCATGCAATCCACTCATACAAAGAAATCAAACCATAGATGCCCAGAAATTAACTTATGTGTAATAATGTGGAATGGCAGAGGGAAAAAGTCACACCTGAAGAAAGGGAGGTGGTGAAAAGGCCTGGAAAGCCAAGACATGCCAAATCTCAGTGATTAGAAAGTAATCCTGCCCCTTTCAGTAAAAAATTAAAATCAGTTGGTTTGTTCAGTGCTGCCTTATAGCAAGAAGGTTCTGGGTTCAATTCCTGGCCTTCTTTCTGCAAGTTTGCATGTTCTCCCTGAGCATGCGTGGGTTCTCTCTGGGTACTCCGGCTTCCTCCCACAGTCCAAAAACATGACTGTCAGGTTAATTGGCTTCTCTAGATTGTCCTTAGGTGTGAGTTTGTGCATCAATGGTTGTCTGTTCTGTCTGTCCCTGTGTTGCCCTGTGATGGACTGGCGACCTGTCCAGGGCTGGAGATGATCACCTCCTCACCACCCATCTTGGGATAAGCTTGACGAAAAATGGATGGATCCATGGTTCAGTCCCAAATAATGGTCTGTGGTATCGCACAAAAAACTCCTCATGAGGTGAAAAGCAAAGGTCTTCCTGAAGACCTTCACAACATTATTTTTGCAAATAATGATGGCATTGGTTACTGAAAGATTTCTAAACCTCTGAATGTTCTAGTGACGCTGTTGGGGCAATAAACCAGAAGTGGAAAGAATATAATTTCACCACAAATTGACCATGACCAGGTGCTCCTCGCAAGATTTCTGACAGAGTGAAGAGAATTATCACAAGAGTTGTCTATGGAGAACTTCAGAAAGACCTGGAATTAGGAGATACAGTTGTTTCAAAGAAAACAATTAGTAATGTGCTCAACCTCAATGGCCTGTATGCTCACCACACAAGACTCCACTGCTGAAGGAAAAGCATGTTGGAGCTTGTTTAAAGTTTGCTGCACAACATTTAGAGAAGCCTGTGAAATACTGGGGGAATATAGTCTGGTTAGATGAGACTAAAACTGAACTCTTTGGATGCTATAATACACATCATGTTTAGAGGTCAAAAGGCTCTGCACGTCACTCCAAAAACACCATAGCAACAGTGAAGTTTGGAGGTGGGAACTTCATGGTGTGGGCCTGTTTTTCAGCATATTGTGCAGGCGAACTTCAAATAATTGAAGGAAGGATGAATGGAAAAATGTACTGAGACCTTCTTGATAAAAATCTGCTGCCATCTACCAAGATGATGAAGATGAAACGCTGGGGAACATTTCAGCAAGACGATGACCCCAAACACACAGCCAAGGAAACTCTCCTTTGGTTTCAGAGAAAGGAAATAAAGCTGCTAGAATGGCCCAGCCATAATAGAACATCTATGGAAACAACTAAAGAAGATCCCCACGAAACCTTCAGGATTTTAAGACTGTTTGTGTGGAAGAATGGGCCAAAATCCCACCTGAGCAATGCATGCTGCTAATTTCTCCATAGAGGAGGCGTTTCATAGGAAACAAAGGCTTTTGTACAAAGTATTAAATACATTCTAGTGAATATTTTTAATATTTTTTACTGTGATATTCTACATTATTACACATAACTTAACTCTGATGGACGTCTATGGTTTGATTTCTTTGTATGAGTGGATTGTTAACATCTGGTGAAAACCTCAAGTCAATGGTGCCTCTAGAAATATATTTACTGAGTTAAACTGGTTTATTTCATCTGCAGTAATTCAGAGCCTTCCTCTTATTTTTCAGCCGTTTCAGATCATCATCCTCATCCTCCATGTTTCCTCTCTGTATGAGTAAAAAAGGACTAATTCATATTTTTCCTGATTAGTTTTTGTTGAATTTCTGTACAGCGGATCCTGCAGAGACCAGCTGTAACATCTAGACTCTGTGTTTCCCTTTCCTGGATTTAAGCATGAAGAGATGTTTGTTTGGCTGGAAGCTGGTTATAAGGATGTGAGTGCGACCGTTCCTTTACCTGCCTCCCTCTCCGGCTTCCCGTACGACCTCCTCTGCTAACAGCGCTGCCGTCTCATCACTGTACCAGAACTGACTCATCCTCTGGGCAAAAAAAAAACAACAGTTATTATCAGTATCAACACAAACTCTATAAACCGCTCCCCCTTTATTTAGAATTTGCCTCCAGTTTATCTAATTCCCTCCTTTCATCATCTGACATGTTGCCAGTAAATAAACGCTCAGGCTCCAGCTTTTCTTGATTGGTCACAAATACTGGCAATATAGCCACAAAACAAACTAGAACACAGAATTTTTAATAAAAAACAAAACAGAAAAAACTAAAAACGGAGCATAACCTAGTTTTAGAAGTGCATGCGCCACCAGATTCATTTTATATACAGATACATTTATCAGGGGTTACAGCTGGGCTTTGCAATTTAATTACTATTTTAAAATCGCAAAGACGCACAATTCTAGAGTAACTAGAGTAAAAAATTAAATTTCTCCCTCCAGTCTTTTAATGGCGGTAATGTGCTTAAAGTGGGTTTGTTACGTGGCCGGCAGGTGCAAACCAACATTACAAAATATAAAACACTTTTACAAGTTCCGAAACAAATGAGCATTTCAGAAAACAAATTTACATTTAAAAATAAAAATAAACAAAACACTTTTAAAAATTCAAAACAAATAGCATTTTAAGAAAACAAATAAAAAACATTTGAAATACTTTTACAAGTCCAAAAACAAATTACCATTTCAGGAATTCAAATGGAAAGGGTGGGAACTAACTCCGAGGCTGAACCGGTCTTGTGCGAATCTCCTTTCTGTCCCCCCTGTGTCGGGAGCAGCATTGCGGCCAGAGAGGCGGATCTGACCATTTTCAATGCGCTCCTGATCATTTCTCGCTGAAAACAGCTCATATAATCATGTCAACTTTCTAACATTCAGTTTAATCGGTTGCTCTTTTTACAAATTTGTAAAATAAATACATTAACGAGGTCTTCTTATGCTGATTTGTGTTTTTTTTTATTAAACGCCAAGAGAATCAGAATCAGAAATACTTTAATAATCCCAGAGGGAAATTACTCGTCGGTATTTCTCCAACTTTTGTCCCTTCAGCCTGACAGAAATAAATGTCAGTCACCAGACACAGATTTCCAACACGTAGTGTATTTTTCATTTTTCATTGCTGATATTTGAGGATGGAAACTGGCTGATAGCAGGGCACACAAATTAAGACGTCCTGCGAAGATGAGAGTGTAGAATTTCTGGTTAATCCCCTTCTCATGTAAAACATGACAGATTGCTCAATTAAGGACATTTCTAGTATAACATATCACACATATCAATTTTAGAGAAATTGGAAACAGTTGCTCTTTATTTCCCTCCATGGGAGGAGGAGAGGAGAGAATGGATGTTTCAGCTGACCGAAATAATCTGTTCCTCTCCATAACATGGGAAGAAATTAGTGTTCCTGCAGGTCTTTAACTGTGCTTATTCCTCTGACCATCAACAACAAATCCCGTGCATTTGCATTTTGAATTCCTGAAATTATAATTTGTTTTGGGAATTGTAAAAGTGTTTCGAATGTTTTCCTAAAATGCTATTTGTTTTGAATTTTTAAAAGTGTTTTGTTTATTTATTTTTTAAATGTAAATTTGTTTCCTGAAATGCTCATTTGTTTTGGAACTTGTAAAAGTTTTTTAGATTTTGTAATGTTGGTTTGCCCCTCCCGGCCACCGTAGTCTGTCGCCACACAGAGGGGAAAACGAGAGTTAAAGCCGTACGCAGATAGAAGGAAGCATTTTTTCACAAAGAGACAAACGAGATTTCAAGGTCACGAAAAAAAGGAAACCCTGAAATGAATCCTCTACATGTTTGCAGTTAGGCCAAAAGAAAACAGACATAAAATCACAATATCAGCTGAAAATAATCAGAATTTAGCGTTTTGGTCAAATATTTTAGCCCTTTTAGGATTGGGCATTTATCCAATCGTTTATTGCGACACATTCTAGACATGATAACGTTTTTAATTAATTGTCTAAACAAAAAAATTTGAATTTGGGCGAATATTGCGTCGTTTTCTTTCATTGGGGCATTGGTAAATACGGAGAATATGATTAAAAGTGGTTACCGCAGGATGTTTAATGATAGAAATCAAACTTTTTTATATAAATGTTGTCCTGAAGGAGCCTATTTTAAAACGGTCCATTTTTTCCAGAGTGTTTCTGATCGTGGCGCCATGATTGCAGGTATAAAACAACCTAAGAACTACGAGAATGAATCAATGAGGAGCTTTTTTATTTGTTTAATCTTTATCACACAGCCCTAAGATGACACATTTTATTCAGCCTCACAAAAACTTAAAGGTTTGGAAAGATTCCAGAACTGAATCTCTCAGAAACTCCATGATGAACATCTGAACAGGATCTAAGTCAAAGGAAGGAGGAACAAAAAGCTTATAGAAGATCAGGCGCACACAGAGGTGGTTATGAACTAACTCACCCAGTCCTCCTCTACTGCTCCCACAGCAAACGGGTCCGACGCCGTCCCATCCGGATCGGGACCGGTCCTGGTCTCGTTGTAGAACTCCTGCAGGGCAGCCAGAGTGTGGGCGGACAGTGTGGGAACGTCGTCATCGCTGTCGCTCATGGCTGCCGGGGCAAAGGACGATGATGAAGATGAGCAGCTGGGTAGAAATCCTCTGCTAAGGTCAGAGAGAGGAGATCCTGAAACAGGCCTGAGAGGAAGAAAACATCTCAGGATGTTTAGAATCTATAATCTAAGTTAAAGGATACAGGAAACGACACAAGGAAAAGGAAAAGACAAGGAAGCCTCCTGAAAAAAATCCACCTCGGTGAGACTGTGTCCGCTGATCAAGGTGTTTATTTTTCTGATATTATACTGAGGATCGGCCTCAAATAATTTGCTCCAAACATTAACTGTTTGCTCTGAGAGCCAAGCCTCAACTGTAGTTAAAAGCCTTCAGCTCCAAAATGCTGCAGCCAGAGTTCTGATGAAAATTAAAAAGAGAGATCACATCTCTCCTATCCT